AATTCTCCTCTCTCTCTCTCTCTCTCTCTCTCTCTCTCTCTCTCTCGGAAATTTCATTTCTTTGGCGGCCCCTCCAGCAGAAAAGGTGTCTTGTGAGCTGGCAGCAGGCTCGCGAGACTATAACCGTTTCTAACTTTATCCCAGATGGCAGCCAGACCGGTCCCAGCGGATTCCTTGCTGCTTCTCGTAAAGATTCATTAATCAACTCTAAGGCATTTTTATTTTGCGGCGATACCAGGTGGCACGTCAAGAATACATGCTTTATGGCGGCTCGTTTGGCCATCCTTGAAAACACACAGAGAGCCAGACGAATTCCCGGGCGGCTAGGAAAATATCGCATAGGAAAGATGTGGTCATGTGAGTGCGTCCTTATTTGGAAGAAATTATTTTTGCAGACGGGATGGGGTGAAGGCTGGGAGATGAGGCCGTCCTGGGTCAGGAGGGGGCCTCCTTCCAGGGACAGGGTGCTGGTCGGACACAGAAGCGGAGACGCAGACACAGAGGAGAATCCACGTGGAGATGGAGGGAGGCAAAGGTGGGAGGAAGGGTGGTGGCCACCAGCCCGGGGAGGCCTGGAGGCCCAGGCACTGGGGGAGGCAGGAGGGACCCTCCCTGGAGCCTCTGAAGGTGAGCTCGGCCTTGGGATACCCAGTCTCCAGGATCGACAGGAGGGAGCGTGGCCCTGGGGACACCCGGTCTCCAGGATCGACAGGAGGGAGCGTGGCCCTGGGGACACCCGGTCTCCAGGGTCGACAGGAGAGAGCGTGGCCCTGGGGCACCCGGTCTCCAGGGTCGACAGGAAGGAGCGTGGTCCTGGGACACCCGGTCTCCCGGGTCGACAGGAGGGAGCGTGGCCCTGGGACACGCGGTCTCCAGGAGCAACAGGAGGGAGCGTGGCCCTGGGGACGCCCGGTCTCCAGGGTCGACAGGAGAGAGCGTGGCCCTGGGGCACCCGGTCTCCAGGATCGACAGGAGGGAGCAGGGCCCTGGGCACACCCGGTCTCCAGGATCGACAGGAGGGAGCAGGGCCCTGGGCACACCCGGTCTCCAGGATCGACAGGAGGGAGCAGGGCCCTGGGCACACCCGGTCTCCAGGATCGACAGGAGGGAGCAGGGCCCTGGGCACACCCGGTCTCCAGGATCGACAGGAGGGAGCAGGGCCCTGGGCACACCCGGTCTCCAGGATCGACAGGAGGGAGCAGGGCCCTGGGCACACCCGGTCTCCAGGATCGACAGGAGGGAGCAGGGCCCTGGGCACACCCGGTCTCCAGGATCGACAGGAGGGAGCAGGGCCCTGGGCACACCCGGTCTCCAGGATCGACAGGAGGGAGCAGGGCCCTGGGCACACCCGGTCTCCAGGATCGACAGGAGGGAGCAGGGCCCTGGGCACACCCGGTCTCCAGGATCGACAGGAGGGAGCAGGGCCCTGGGCACACCCGGTCTCCAGGATCGACAGGAGGGAGCAGGGCCCTGGGCACACCCGGTCTCCAGGATCGACAGGAGGGAGCAGGGCCCTGGGCACACCCGGTCTCCAGGATCGACAGGAGGGAGCAGGGCCCTGGGCACACCCGGTCTCCAGGATCGACAGGAGGGAGCAGGGCCCTGGGCACACCCGGTCTCCAGGATCGACAGGAGGGAGCAGGGCCCTGGGCACACCCGGTCTCCAGGATCGACAGGAGGGAGCAGGGCCCTGGGCACACCCGGTCTCCAGGATCGACAGGAGGGAGCAGGGCCCTGGGCACACCCGGTCTCCAGGATCGACAGGAGGGAGCAGGGCCCTGGGCACACCCGGTCTCCAGGATCGACAGGAGGGAGCAGGGCCCTGGGCACACCCGGTCTCCAGGATCGACAGGAGGGAGCAGGGCCCTGGGCACACCCGGTCTCCAGGATCGACAGGAGGGAGCAGGGCCCTGGGCACACCCGGTCTCCAGGATCGACAGGAGGGAGCAGGGCCCTGGGCACACCCGGTCTCCAGGATCGACAGGAGGGAGCAGGGCCCTGGGCACACCCGGTCTCCAGGATCGACAGGAGGGAGCAGGGCCCTGGGCACACCCGGTCTCCAGGATCGACAGGAGGGAGCAGGGCCCTGGGCACACCCGGTCTCCAGGATCGACAGGAGGGAGCGTGGCCCTGGGACACCCGGTCTCCAGGATCGACAGGAGAGAGCGTGGCTCTGGGACCCCTGATCTCAGACTCCTGGTCTCCAGATATGAGAATGGATAGATTTCATTGGTAAGCTCCGATGTCATCAAATATTTAAATCTCAAAAGGCCATCTCAGCGAGATGCATCGTTTCCTCAGAGCAGTTATATCCAGGATCAAAAGAGTGGGGGGTGGCTCTGGCCAGTATGGCTCAATGGTTAGAGTGCCAGCCTGTGCCCTGAAGGGGTTCCCCAGTTCAATTCCCAGTCAAGGGCACGTACCTCGGTTCCTGGTTGGATCCCCGACCCTGGAGGCAACCAGTCGACGTGTCTCTCTCATGTTGATTTCTCTCTCTCTCTCTCTCTCTCTCTCTCTCTCTCTCTCTTTTTCTCTCTCACTTTGGTTGCCTCCAGTACCCCACCCCCATCCTATACACCCCACTAGGGATTAAGCCTGAAACCGGGGGCATGTGACCTGGAGACTTCCTGGTTCATAAGTTGATGCACAACCACTGAGCCATGCCGTGGACTATAAATTTAGATCCAGTCCTTCCAGAATCCACTTTGAAGAGAACAACTGGTTACAAGATTTGACAAATTAGTGTGTCAGGGACTGCTAATTGTCCCCTGCTGTCCATTATCCCACTCCTCCTCTTCCTTTTCCTCTTCTTTTTTTAAAAAATAATTGCTTTATTATATCTTCTTGTAGTAATAGAATCTTACCCCCTATAGCAGGCAAATAGCTGTCAAGCTAGGTTTACTAGTATGTTTCTTGGCCTCCCTTGGGGCAAAAGTGAAGCTATGTGCCAAAGTTTTTGTATCTTGTTGAGAAAAATTCAGATGGCCCTGGCTGGTGTGGCTCAGTGATTGAGCGTCGACCCATGAACCAGGAGGTCAGGGTTCGATTCCCGGTCAAGGGCACATGCCCGGGTTGTGGGCTCGACCCCCAGCGGGGGGCGTGCAGGAGGCCGGCAATCCATGAATCTCTCTCATCATTAATGTTCCTCTCTCTCTCTCTCTCTTTGAAATCAATAAAAATATATTTTTAAAAATTCAGGTAATAACCTATGTACTTGAATGACTCCCTCTCTGCTTGTCTGACTTTCTCTAATTTTTGCGTTCAGCTATTTCTACCAGAAAATTATTTTCCCACTAAAGTCATTTACTGTTTCAGGGGCATCTATGAAGTAATTCCCTTTAAGACGCTAATGGGAGGTGGGGTGAGTTTCTTGATCAAGTCAAGGGGATTCATTGAAAAGGGCATCTGTCACTTGCCAATTTCTTTTTTAGGGTTGGAGTTTCAACCTATGATACCTTCATCAAAATGCAAGAAATGTATGCATTTAAAAAGTTGTGGTTTTTAATATATACTCTAGACGCCCAGTGCACAAAATTCCTGCATGGGGATGGGACCCTCAGCCTGGTCTGCACCCTCTCCAATCCGGGACCCCTCAGGGGATGTCCAACCGCCAGCTTCGGCCCGATCCCATAGGAGGCAACCGAACCATGATTCTCTCTAATCGCCGATGTTTCTCTCACTCCCTCTCCCTTCCTCTCTGAAATCAATAAAAATGTATTCTTTAAAAACAACCAGTTGGAAATGAGATAAACATTGAGCACCCACAATCCCCCTGCAAAAAGTTATGGACGGCATTACAACCGATGGGCGTTTCATCATCTGGAAGGGTAGAGAATTTTATTGGCCTTCACATCCATTCCTTGCATATTTCAAAGGACCAACGTCCGTGGCCTTTGGTGGGCTTTGGTGGGCTTTGGTGGCCTTTGGTGGCCTGCTGTCAATCAAATGGCTGCCTGCCTGGCTGATTCCTCACCCTCCTTGTCACAAAGACAGAACGGAAACACTCTACAGCAGCTCAGCAACCACACAAATCTCCGGTTTCGTTCGGGCCCCAGATGCGGCTGGACCGGAGCGATGGTCTTCCTGTGTTCCTCGACGGCGTCAGCCACCGTCTGGATGACCAGGTCATACAGCGGCTCCGTGTCCTTGGTCAGCGGGTTGGACTCCGAGGGGTCCTGGGAGAGGTCGAACAGCAAGGGAGGGTCGTGGTAGGTGACGTTGTCCCCGATACATTGGCAGTAGTTGGTCTCGTAGCAGGCCTGGGCTCCCGGGGGCTGGAAGATGGGGGTGACGTAATGAACCTTCCACATGGCGTTGCCTGGAGAGGAAAGGAGATGTCAGGGCACCCAGCCCATATGCCCATTGAGCCACCCAGCCCATGTGCCCGTTGAGGCACCCAGCCTATATGCCCGTCGACTTGGTTGTCTTCTGCCTTCGTGGGGGTTCTCTGCTCTTTCTCTTTGCCCACATGTTAACTCAAATACCAGCTAATCTTCAGAGCATCGCAACATCAGAATTCCTTAGACAGCGGTTCTCAACCTGTGGGTCGCGACCCCTTTGGGGGTCGAACGGCCCTTTCCCAGGGGTCGCCTAAGACCGTCGGAAAACACATCTATAATTACATATTGTTTTTGTGATGGATCACGATGCTTTAATGATATTCAATGTGTAACCATAAAAATACATCCTGCATATCAGGTATTTCCATGACGATTGATAACAGTAGCAACATGACAGTAATGAAGCAGTAACGAAAATAATGTTATGGTTGGGGGTCCCCACAGCATGAGGGACTGTATTCAAGGGTCGTGGCCTTAGGAAGGTTGAGAACCACTGCCTTAGGACAATAATGTCCCAGGTATCAACATTGATATTTCTTACCTTCATTTTTTTTAATTGAATATATTGGGGTGACATCTATATATACAAAAGTCTAATATGCTAAATGTCCCTCCTACCGTTTGACCGTACAACCAGTCACTATGATGTGCCCTGACCACCAGGAGGCAGACAACCGACTGGTCGACCAATCTCTATGATGTGCACTGACCACCAGGGGGAAGACGCTCCAACCGGTAGGTGAGCTTGCTGCTGGGGATCG